TCTTGGATCTAGGTTTCTCTGTTGTACATGCAATTCATCCAAAACTTATAAACCCTAGATCTAGCATACATATTTCGAAATTAACATAAGAAAACTGATCTAGATGATTACCTCTTCTACAATGGCTTGATTCTTCTTGTCTTGGAGCTTAGAGTCACAAGTGTCACTCCTCTAATGGCTTACAAACACCAAACAAGCAAGAGGATGATATTGGAGAGAGGGGAGAGGAACAATTTCGGCTATGGAACTCTCTAGGGTTTCAAGTGGCCAAAATATGATGCTCTAGGGGTTCTATATATACTTGTGCTGCTAGGGTTTCAGTCAAAACCCTAATGGACAACTTAGGGCTTAAGCAGTCCAAGGAAGCTTCTGGAATAAGGCCTCTATGGCCGAAATTAGGATGGACACATCCCTAATTTCGTCCAAGCCTAGTCCATAAGCCTTCTCAGCCCAATACTCAACTATCACACATTTGACAGTTTAAGTCCCCGTTATTTAACTAATGTCTTTTAGTCACATAATTAATTCTTGTCTAATATTAATTAAACTATATGATTTCTCCTTTAATATATTATTCATATAATATATTAATAAACCATAATAACCTCTCTCTTCATAAATCACCCTGTCAAGTTGCTCTGGTGAAGGCAACCCAAAAGGACCATGCACAACCGGGTCAAGTACATACTAAATATAGTTACGGGCTTAGACACTAATCCAACAGTTGGATCACAACACTGATAGGAAAGACTGTGGTTGGATCACAACACTGATAGGAAAGACTGTGGTTGGATCACAACACTGATAGGAAAAATTATGGTTGGATCACAACACTAATAAGAAAGACTGTGGTTGGATCACAACATTGATAGGAAAGATTATGGTTGGATCACAATAAGTAAAGGTAAGACCATGGTTCAGACCCTGGCAATGGAGTCAGGGCTGGACCCGTATACTCCCTAGGGTTGGGCTCGTTACCCATGATATATATATGTGGATAGGAGATTTGTTTGCTCAGCTCTAGAGCCGAGATCTTGTGTGGATGCATTGTATGTATGGTGGAATATGTAGTATATTGGGGAACTCACTAAGTTTTATGCTTATAGTTGTGGATTAAACATTTGGCAGGTCATTCTCGAGAAGAGCTTGGCGGGACTGTACACACGTATCGAAGATGTTCGTTTCCGCAGTTTTTCTAAACTTAACTATGATATTGTATGGTTTTAATCAAATGGATGTTACTTGATGGTTTTTGAAACAAAGGTTTTAATTGGTTATTATATTTTAAAATTGAAAAATCTTTTTGTAATTTCTGGGACATTACATTATGACGGTTGGTTTTGGAGGCTATCGTTAAGACGACATGTTGGGTGATATGAAAATTTCGAAATAGTTGACTTTGATGATCAAAGATTGAGAAGGGGTTCTTTAAAAGATTTGGTTGTTGGTCATTTTTTTCGTGGTTTGCTAATAGGAATAGACATTTTAAATCTAGATGAGTAGATTAGCTTTTAAACCTTATTATATCTATTTCTTTGTAATTATTTATTTGCTAACTTGTGATAATACAAATCATTAAGTCGTTAAAAAAGCACTTGTAGTTTCCTCAATCATGCAAGTAATATATCAAAGAGGGAGTAAACACATGTGGTCATAAATCTCTACTTTTTGGTTGGGCGGTGTGCTCCCACCGCACCACCGCATAGTGTGGTGGGGCTTATGTGAACTGATGGGTGTGTAGTAACACCATATTGTGTAGTGTGTTTTGTGTGGTTAGGGTTGCCGCAGGAGATTAATTCACCGCATCCACCCCTATCTTTTGTAGCCATTGGCATTTTTTTTGAAACAATATAAATACCAACCATATTCAATCTTTTTTTTTTTACCAAAACACAAACTCTCACAACTTCTATATCCATTTTAGCAGTTTCACAATACCATCGACATCTTCTACTTCGTCGGATACGTCGACATTACAAGACATCAGAAAAAAGTATGGAAAAAACAATTGCATGTTATCGAGAACAAGAAGTTGAAAGTTCACGTTCGATAATGAGAAAAAGTGCTTTTACGGAGAAAACAGTGAAATCAAACACAATCATCTTATAGAAGACTATTTTGTTAATGATGTCGAGTACACTGAAAAGTTTAGATGACGGTTCTGGATGAGGAAAGAATTATTCCTATGTATAGTTGATGACTTGAAGGATCGGTTTCCATATTTCAATTGAAATGGGATACGAGAGGTAGAAAATGGTTTTGTACAATACAAAAATATACAACCTCAATTCATCAGTAGCATACATAATGGGAGCAAACTCATAGGATGAGTATTTGAGGATGACTTAGAGGACCACGCAAGATCAAGTGTTTACAAGTTTGCTAAAGTAGTGCTTATGGTTTACGTGAAACAATATTTGCACAAACCTATGATTAATGACATCCACCAATTATACACAACACATGAAAACAAGCATAGGTTCCTGGAACGATAAGTAGCATTGATCGTATGCATTGGGTGTGGAAAATGTGCCCTAATGCATGTTGCGGTCAGTACATGTGAGGTGATCATAAAGAACCAATGATAACTCTATAAGTAATCGTGTCTTACAATCTTTGGATATGACATGCATTCTTTGGTGTCATGTGTTCCAACAACGACATCAATGCTGTTGATCAGTCCTGATATGCAATGACATCTATCTTGGAAGGCCATATGATGTGTTGTTTCAAGCGAATGGAGTATCATACAAGCATGAGTATTATCTTACTGATGAGATATATCATGAGTTATCTATATTTGTCAAACGTTGATATGTCCAAATGTCGATGAACGATTAAAGCCCATGAAACAACTAGGAAAGATGTGGAATGAGCATTTGGTATCCTTAAGAGGCGTTGGCTGATACTCAAACTCCCAATACGATCATGTGATCCCAAAAGCTTGCAAAACATAATGTATGTGTGCATCTGATTACATAATATGATTTTAAAAGAGGAAGGAAAAGTGATATGTCACTACGATGAAAACAAAAAATTGTCATCCTTCAAAAGTATATATTGGTACGCAACAATACATGACAAACATAAGGGAAATACATGATCGTGATACGCATCACAACATTCGAGCTGATTTGGTGGAATATATTTATAGAGCTAATGTACATCCTGTTGATAATGATTTTTAAGTGGATTTCTATGAGGATACAAATGAAGATTTGGACATACATTTCGATGAGGATTCGGGCAAGTATTCAAACGATGATGTGGACAACAATTTTACGTGATGTAGTATTTTAATTATTGTTATGTTTTAGTTTCGTTTTTTATTTTAATTATGTAATTTTTATTTTGAGGTAATGAAATATTTCCATTTATATTAATTCTATATTTATTAAATTATTTACTTTTTTATTAATTTTGTATATTTCTTAATTTATATTTTATAATTTTATTTTAAAAAAAGAAAAACAAAATAGTGAAAAAATAAGAGATGACAGTTGCCTAGGTTAAATGGAGTGAAGGGAGAATAGGGAGAAAATGATATACCCCCATTCAAGTGCATTTCACTTGAATTATGTATAAATCGAGACAAGAGACTTGCAACAAATAGAATATTATGTCTTATTGATGTAAGATACATAAATAACCAATCAAGCTTCTATAATGGCCTTAGTGGATTTTATCAACTTCATTGGTGCATTTATAGCTTTGAACTCCTCCATCAATTATTTTGCATACTTCTTCTAGTAAATAATTAAAACACTTTATTTTGTCTTTCATGGACTTCCATTTCTAGAAAGGAAGACATAAGACCAAGGTATGTCTTCTAAAAAACGTGCATCATTTCTAGTTTGAAATCCTCAACCATTTGTTCCTTATCTCATGTGGCCAAAATATCACCTATATAGAAAGATACAATAACAACATATCTACCTTTTTTCTTAACATAAAGAGTATCCTTACACAAGCTTCTTGTGAATCCCAAGAGCAGAAAATGATCATATACAATGTTGTACCAAGCTTTTAGAGCTTGCTTTAATCCGTAGAAAGCCTTCTAGATAAAATAGACACTAGACATGAATTAGGTTGTTGTTGACCGTTTGACCAAGAATGCATTTTTCCTTGCAATTCGTGAAACTTGACATATGGAAAATTTTGCAACATTAAGTTGTGAAAAGACACATGTACCATTGTTAATTGTGTCTATCATGATAGTCACTTTTGGAGAAGATGATGCACAAACGTTTGAGGTCTTCTAAAGGACAAACAGTCTTTGAGAACATGCAAACGTAAACGTCTTCCTGCCGCAGATATAAGTGCTTAAAAAGAGATTTTTCAAAAAAAACAAACACTACCTAAGCTAAGTTGTGTTTGTGTAACGCCTATCATCCATAAATAGTCATATATCACAACCAGTGGCGAATCTAGAACAAAAAATCACGTGGTTCTTAAATTAAGTGAAGCCAATAAATAAAATCAACAACACTTTTGGGGTCGGGTCGGCTCATGTACCTTAAAAGAACTGAACTAGTTCAATCGGCTGATGTACCTTGTGCCACCAATTAAAAATTTTAAAAAACCGATTGAAATATAACTGAAAAAGGCGTACGGTTTAACGAAAAACTAATTGATTATTAGTCCATTGATAAAGCGGCGAACGGAGAGTGAGAGTCTTTGGCATGTGGGCTTTCAATTTATTAGAACAACTTATTTATTTATTAATATTTTGAGAGTGGTTAACTTTTTGTTATCAATCCCATAATTTAAAATAACAAATTGCCCCTAATAACTTATCTTTTTCTCTTTTTAAAATGGTTTTTTAAGAAATTTTTTTAAAAAACAAACTCAAAGTGGATCCTCTATTTTTTCCAAGGTAGTTCCTAATTTTTCTACTATATACATTGTAAATGAAATTGAGAACTTAGGTAGATCCTAAGACCTACCTAAGCACATGGTGGATACGCCCCTGATCACAACAAACATAAAAACATAATTTACTACGGAAAATAAAATATTACAACTACACGAATAACATTAAACTTCTATACTACAACATACCTATAAGGCTATAATCATATCATACTCATACATGTTCTTACAAAACATGAAGAAACTTATCACGAGTACTCACCATATGCATAACCCATGTAGTTATACCTTGATCGGACATTTTGGTTCCCATAATTCGGGTGGTGGTTGTTATAACCAACCGCCTTAATCACCACCGCCTCATGCTTCCCCTCTTTCTCTTGAACCGCCCCAAAAACAACCTCATTTGTTTCACTTTTCTCCTCAATATAAGTCTCGGGACCCGTTGAATAATGTTTCTGATGGTGTTGTTGACGATGTTGATGTTGATGTTGTACTGGGTGCATTGGTTGTTGTAAATTGAAGTATTGACCATTTTGCCCATTGTAAAGATACCGGGTTTGCTTAGAAGGTCGAGGTCTTTCCGTGGGCTCATATGGTTTTGGGGTTTCAAGTGGTGGAGGAGCATCTTGATGGGGAATCATGAAGCTTTCTTGCATAGGCCAAGTGTTGGAAAGTTGAGGGGGTTGTTGGTAATTCATGTGAAGTTGAGGGTGGAGTTGTTTCTTTTTGGAAGTATTAGAGAATAGAGTTGTTCCGGTTTTGATAACAAGTTTTCCAAGTGAATTAAATAAAACTTCTTCTTCTTCTTCGTTTTCGTGTTCGTTTTCTTCTGGTGGAATTAAAGGTGGCCTTACTGATTTGACTTTGACTGATCTTTGATACGTTGGAGGAATGTTGCTCATATTTGGTCTTGGATCCTATTATTTTAGGAATCAATAAAATAAAGATATTAAAAAAAAATGGAACATATCTTCTTTGCATAAATAAGTGATTAACCCTTACATAAAGTTGGCAAAAAAATAGTGGCTTTTTTTTTGACTTAATACAGAAAGAATGACTTAATAGAGAAAGCAAGGGTAATGAGCTTTCCCCATTAAGTCCTAATTTTTTACAATTTTACCATGATTTATGTTTTTCCTTCCATATTCCCAAGTGTTCCTTATCATCTTTTATAATTTTTAATTATCCTTTATGTATACAACACTTTATCCAAAAAAAGAAAAGAGTAAATTACACGAATGGTCCCTATGGTTTAGGGTAATTTGCGCGTTTGGTCCCTAACTTATTTTTTTAACTTGGAAGATCCTTACTGTTTGTTTTTATTACGCGCTTGGTCCCTGTCTTACCTAAAAAGACTATTTTGCCCTTGATTTTTAATTTATTTAAATAAACACACCCCGAACCCCAACCCCACTCCCCTCACCTTACCTACTCCACCATTTTTCTCTATTTAAATAATAGTCTTTTTAGGTACGACAGGGACCAAGCGCATAACAAAAACAAACAGTAGGTACTTTCCGAGTTAAAAAAATAAGTTAGGGACCAAACGCGCAAATTATCCCAAACCATAGGGACCATTCATGTAATTTACTCAAAAAGAAAAGATGCCTTACACTTTCTGATGAAAACATTGCACAAATTCTTCTTTGTAACAAGGCTAACATGAAACCAAAGAACACAGCAGCACCAAGAACTGCTATTCCTGAAACAATAATCAACCAAAGTTAAATGCAGCAAAGTTTGACCCTAATATGCAATAAAGTTTGACCAAAATATGCACATTGTAAGTTGTTGCATAAACATAACACTTAATATCAATTAGTGAACATCTTTTTTTATTTTTGTTTTACCTAAATGGTGTTCTCCATCATATTGATACGAAGAACAATCATCCTCATGAAGTTGGATCTCTCGAATTGCTTGATTTCCTCTATCAATTACTAAAATTGAGCAACTACTAGCAACATACTTCACATCAAAATCATCTGAAAATTTTGCATTCTCACTTGGACCATCAATGTGACCTGTCCCACGTGCCCAATTTCCTCCAGCTATAGTTACAACCCCTGCATGTATTATATTTAACCAAAAGGGTAAATTTGTAAAAACTTGCAACTTTTTTCCAATTAATTAAGCGGTTATTTCTTCTTTTTCCAATTAAGTCATGTATGGATATAGTGTTGTATACATAAAGATTGTTTCTTTTCTGAACCAAACCTGAGTAAATGACTATTTTACCCTTCTATTTAGAACATACCTGAATCGCTGATCTTTCTGATAGCCATATTCATGGTGTCAGCTACATAGACATTTCCTCTGTCATCCACAGTAAGTCCTTTCGGGTGATTCATCCGGGATTCTCTTGGCTTACCATCAATATGACCAAAATACCCTTCAACTGAACCAGCCAAAAGCTTTGGTCTGCTATCTGTGACAATCATTCATTCTAATTTATAAATTTATGGATGATCAAAACCAAATTAAGCTCCCATAATAGAAATATGCATCATGAAGTTTTCAAGAAAAAACAAACATTTTGACAAAAGGAATAAGAATAAATGCAGAAGTAAATTAATTTTACAAGATTCAAAGTTTTGTATATTGTATGAGGAAAGAAAAAGGGAGTTTGGACTGGATCTAAAGAGAATAAAGTTTACTCATTCATTGGCAGGATTTGAGCTTTAGGATTAAAAAAAAGTAGGCTAGCATATGAACAGAAAAATGGGATAAGTTCTAATAAATAGTTGAAACAAATTTTCTATACTTAAAGATGAGTATTCTTCTAAACAAAAGCATAATCAAATCCTGAATGTGGAGCCCTCATCAACTATTATTCTTAAACAGTTCATGAAGCAACTTAACCCTGATTCATCTACTCATAGCAACTAGATTGAAGTTCACATATTATTTATTCTTGAAGTCGCAATAATCATTAGTCATAATATTAAAAACGATTAACAAAACTGTAGAAACATGCATGCTGCTTTAGATGTGCCATAGAAGATGATGGTGATAAACTATGACTTAGTAGTCGTTTTCATGATCAAAAGTTGAGGAGGAAAACAAGGGGAACATGAAACACATGTAGGAGTTTTTATAATATCAGATCCATATGATCAATTTAAATTTTATAAGAATTATACTTACATGTTGATAAAGGTGTTGAGATTTTGTGAATATTGCTGTTTTCCGAATCTAAGATAAGAAGCTCCCCAGATGGAGTTACCTCCACAGAGTGAGGTTCGATCCCGAGTTTGCTTCCATCAAACACAGTTTCTACAGTATATCCACCTTCGTAGTTCACCATTGAGCGACTCGAAACAGCTGTGTAGATGTGAAGAACATATAAAAACACAAACCCAGTTCAAAATTACTAGCTCGTAGATCATGATTACAACAGAGGGGATGGGGAAAGATGAAATTGAACAAACCCATGCCGATTTTGGTAGCGGGTTTAAGAGACCACAGCCATTTGAAAAGTGCAGACGCAATGTTCGACGCAATGCCACTGACAATTTCTGCAATTGAAGCAAGCAATCAATTAGCTATGCGATGATATGAAGAAAATAATAATAAAAGTTTGGGGACTTATTAGGACTTACTTGCGGGTGGTGTTGCAGAAGCCAACGAGAATAATGATCCAGAAAACAGAAGAAAGAAAATTAGGAGACAACCCACCCAGTTTTTGCTGATCATGTTGTTGTTCTTCAACTATGAAACGTAAAGTTTGCATTTAAGAGGAAGAATAAAGCAAATCTCGCCACCTTCTTATACTTTCTGCAGATGATTAACGTGTTCCTTGAGGACAGAATTTCTTCTTCTTTTTTTACGTTTGATGAGACCAACAGAGAGAGAGAAAAAGGGACAAATTAAAGGGAGGATGAAGAAGTGAAGTTCAGAAGGCAGTGTGCTAACGTAATAGAATAAGCTAAAAAGGGAAATGTAGTTAGGCGTTAGTACGTGTGTGTGGGAGGAAGAGTATCAATCTTCCTTCAAAAAAAAAAAAAAAAAAAAAAAAAAAAAAAAAAAAACTCAATTTGATAGGAAGACAATGATAAAATATAGTGTTATTCACTAAAAATATTCTATGAAGTGGTAGTGTTTTTTAACAAACCCAATTTTCTTTAGATTTTAATATAATGCGAAAATATGATCGTGAGTTTGGAGAAAAACTTTTTATGACTCAAAGTACCCACCAATAAACGATCATGAGTATAATTTAAAAAAGAATAATTATGATATAGATTCAATATCTCTTTAAGATTTACAAGTTACTTTTCTAATAGTGAATATTAATGTTCAACCATGTATATATGATTTATTATTGCTAAAGGGTCACGAGACAACATATTATTTAAGGGTTTTGTGATTATATCTTTAGGTATTTGTATGATAGTTGGAATGTGATTTTTAATATCCTGTGGATTGTTGTTATTTATTATGATCTCAAATCGATTGTGGAAGTTTCCTTCAAACTTCAACATTGGATGATTTCTAGAATACCATTCTACACATGTGGTTTTAATTTGTCAAGAATGGGTGGTAGCATGTTTGTCAAGAATGGATAGTAGCATGTTTGTCAAGAATGGATAGTAGCATGTTTGTCAAGCTTGGATGGTAATAGACAATTGAATTTATACATTCATTTGCCTATAAAAGGAAATGAAACCAAGCTTATTAAAAACAACACACCTCAAATTACATCTTCATCTTTCTCTCATATTCATACAAATATATGTTTGATATATTTGTTTTTCTTTCCTCTATCTCTGTAAACACTGAATATTATAGTAAATTGGTTCTCGGCTTCCTCCGCCCGTGGTTTTTCCCGATTTGGGTTTCCACGTAAATATCGCGTGTTTTTTCTTTTTATCGTTCGATTTATTCTTGGTTGATTATTCAAATAGTTTTATATTCCGTTGAATCGCTATCGTGATATTTGGGTTTTATACTTCGATCTTGAAGTTATCGATTATTTATTGTAGTCGATTTGTCTACAATTGGTATCAGAGCTATCCGGGTTTCCGATAACGATTCGTAAAAAAACTATTTTCAACCATGTCATCGATGAAGTACGATATTCCTTTACTTGACAGAAAACACAAGATTCCCTCTCTGGCAAGTAAAGATGAAAGATGTGTTGATCCAAATGGATCTCCACAAAGCACTATTAGGAATGGAGAAAATGCCGGCAACTTGGTCGACTGAGGAAAAGGAGATGAAAGATCTGAAGGCGTCGTCGCAGATCCGTCTGCATCTTTCTAACGACGTTCTCCAAGATGTGTTGAAAGAGACATCCGCAGCGGCTCTTTGGCTAAAACTCGAGCAGCTACTTATGACGAAAAGCTTGCCCAACAAGCTACACTTGAAGCAACGACTTTTTAACCTAAAGATGGGTGAAGGTAGTTCTTTGTCTGATCACCTCTCTACCTTTAAAGAGCTTGTAGGAAATCTGGAGAATATGGACGTCAAATACGAAGATGAAGACTTGGCGTTATTTTATTATCTTCTCTCCCAGACTCCTACGATCACTTTCGTGACACCATTATCTATTCTCGGGACACTCTTGTCCTTGACGAGGTAATGACTGCTCTTGATTCAAAGGAAAAGATGAAGCAGATAGTTGGGAACAGTAGCAGCGATTCTAAAGCCGAAGGTCTCAACATCAGAGGGAGACCTAACGAGAGAGGTAGCTCTTCACAAAATCGATCTAGATCTAAGTCCAAAGCCAATCGCAAGTATTGTAATTATTGCCACAAGAAGGGACATCTGATCGATGAATGTTTCAAGTTAAAGAACAAGGAGAAAGCAAAGGCAATCACAAAGGGAAAAACAACCAATAACACCGTTGAAGCCGATGTTGCCGAAACTGGTTCCGATGGCGAGCTTCTATCCGTTTCAGACTACGGTTTAATGACCACGAGTGAGTGGGTACTTGATTCAGCGTGTACTTTTCATATGAGCTCCAACCGAAGCGTTTTTCATTCATATGAAAGGTTAACGAAGGCCACGTTTAATGGGTAACGACACTTCGTGTCGTATTATTGGACGGGGTACACTCAGGTTCCACATGTTCGATGGCGTTGTTCGAACGATTCAAGATGTGAAGCACGTATCCGGTCTTAGGCGAAATTCACTAAGTCTCGGTACTTTCGAGAAGAAAGGGTACGAGTTTGTTGGCAAAGACGGGAAACTCCATATTTTCAAGGAAGGTTCTGTGGTCATCCGAGGAGTTAGAAAATCCGCAAACCTTTACATTATGGATGGGCAAGTTATCTCCGGCGAAGTCTCGGTATGTTCTAAATCCCTCTCCAACGTTGATCGCTCTCGTCTATGGCACCTCAGGCTCGCTCACATGTCATACCATGGTATGAATGAACTAAGTCGAAGGGGGTTGCTCGGGGAGCACAAATCAATCGAACTTGAATTCTGTGAAGATGTGTATTTGGAAAGCAGAAGCGAGTGAGTTTTATCGGTGGCAAACATACGACGAAAGGGCCACTTGAATACATACACTCTGATTTATGGGGACCAGCGAAGGTTACATCGAAAGGTGGAGCCTCTTATATGCTCACGATCATTGACGATTTCTCAAGAAAGGTATGGTCGTTCTTCTTGAAGTCAAAGGGAGAAGTATTCCAAACTTTTAGAGATTGGAAAGTATTGGTTGAAAAGCAATCAGGTTTTGAAGTGAAATACCTTCGTACTGATAATGGACTGGAATTTTGTTCTGAAGAATTCAACTCCTATTGCCGTAGGGAAGGAATTACGAGGCATCGCACCGTAGTTCATACACCACAGCAGAACGGCGTAGCGGAACGTATGAACCGCACCATCATGGAGAAGGTCCGATGCATGCTATCTCATTTCGAAGTTGCCGAAGTCTTTTTGGGCCGAGGCTGCTTCAACCGCATGCTACATTATCAACTGTTCCCCTTCTCGTGCTATTCAAAAGAAGACCCCATTTGAGCTTTGGTCCGGCCAACCTGCTGATTACACGAAATTGATTCCATTTGGATGTCCAGCATATGCCCGAGTTGATAACGGTAAATTGGAACCGAGGGCAATTAAATGCGTCTTTCTCGGATATCCGACAGGTGTTAAAGGGTTCAAATTATGGAGCCCGGAGCTAAGCAAGGTTTTGACATCTAAAGATGTGACCTTCGATGAAAAAGCCATGCTTCATCCTGTCTCCAACATTCAGACCAGAGAAAATGAAAATTCGGAAAAAGACAAAGTTCGAGTGGAGGTGGAGTTTCCTTTAAATTCATATTTCGAGGACCAGTCTCATGAAGGTGTCGAGGTTTCTCAACCCTCGAATAATCAACATTCCTCTTCTCATGAGCCAGCCGAAGCTCCAAGCCAACCTCACAGTCCCTCCATTGCAAGAGATAGACCTCGCAGATAGATTGTACCTCCAAAGAGATATGTTCAAGCCAATTCTGTCGCTTATGCACTTACAGTTGCCAATGAAGTTGAGTCTGTTCTGGAGCCCACAAGCTACAACGAGGCCATTCAATCCAAACATTCTAATAAGTGGATGGTTGCCATGCACGAGGAAATGGAATCTCTTCAGAAAAATGGCACATGGGATCTCGTTCCAGCTCCAAAGGGTAAGAAGACAGTTAAGTGCAAATGGGTCTACAATTTGAAGGAGGCTATCCACCCTGGTGACAAACCAAGATATAAAGCTCGTTTGGTAGCCAAAGGCTACAGTCAAATCCCATGTATCGATTATACCGACATTTTCTCTCCGGTTGTGAAACACACGTCAATACGTGTCTTGTTGGGATTAGTTGCCTCTCATGACTATGAATTAGAGCAACTTGATGTTACTACAACATTCTTAATGGTGTGCTTGAGGAAGAGATATATATATATGCAACAACCTGAAGGTTTTGTAGCTCCTGGCAAGGAAAGCTACGTGTGCAAATTGAAGAAGTCTCTTTATGGCCTCAAGCAATCTCCTCGACAATGGTATAAAAGGTTTGACTCATTTATGACCAGTCACAAGCTGAAAAGGTGCACCTACGACAGCTGCGTTTACTACAAAAAGTGTGACGATGGTTCAATGGTCTATCTCCTTTATACGTGGATGACATGTTAATTGCAGCGAAGAATATAAAGGAGATTCAAAAGATAAAAGACCAGTTGAATGCTGAGTTCGATATGAAGGACTTGGGTGCTGCCAAGAAAATTCTAGGAATGGAAATAGTGCGAGACCGTAGTGCAAGAACTCTATACCTTTCTCAACAAAGCTACATTGAGAAGGTTCTGCACCGTTTCAATATGCATGACGCAAAAGAAGTCAGCACTCCTTTCGCAGCCCACTTCAAGCTATCATCCGCCTTAAGTCCTACCACCGAAGAAGATATAGCATACATGGCAAAGGTACCATACTCCAGCGCTGTAGGATCTCTTATGTATGCTATGATTTGTACACGTCCAGATTTGTCATATGCGGTAAGCATGGTGAGCAGATACATGGCGAATCCAGGAAAGGAGCATTGGGTTGCTGTTAAATGGATTTTTCGCTACTTGCGAGGTACTTCCTCTTTATGTCTGCGGTTTGGAAAAAACGATAATGGGTACTTGGTTATGTGGATTCCGATTATGCAAAGGACTTGGATAAAAGACGATCGATTACAGGGTACGTGTTTACTTTGGGTGATTGCGCAGTTAGCTGGAAAGCGCAGTTACAATCTACTGTAGCGTTATCCACCACTGAAGCCGAATACATGGCTGCTACGGAAGCAGTGAAGGAAGCCCTCTGGTTGAAACGGTGATAGGTGAGCTTTCAAACAAGTTATCTGTTAACACTGTTTTTTGTGACAATCAAAGTGCAATATTCTGACGAAGGATCAAATGTTCCATGATCGAACGAAGCATATTGATGTTCGTTATCACTTCATCAGAGA